ATCATGTAACAAAAAAGGCCTGGTGTTGTTTGACCAACTGGGCCAACTCCGGTCTCAATGGCGCCCAGTTTGAGTGGAGCCACTCCACTTAGCACCACTCGTCCTCCGCGTTCGGGGCCGATTCGGTTCCTTCATCCTTCGCTCCAACGGTTCCTTCGCCGAGCTCGGCCCGCGCTGAGGGGTGTGAGCTGAGCCGGAGCCGCTTCTCATGGCAGAGGACCCGAGCCCGGACGACCGGCTCCAACGCCGGGTGCGCGGGGGGTTCGCGCCGGGTTCGGGGTGGCGTGGGGAGTTGAACACTGGAGTTCGCCGCCTGCTGCGTTCAGTGTTTTGCAATGGAAGTCCCCATAGAGGACTTGGGGAGTCACAGATGACGATTTGGAAGACGCACTCTTCCCCTATAGTGAAGATCTCATATGAGATCATATAGGATGCTCTTGTCCTCAGCTCGTGTACTTCACGTTCCCCTCAGTCGAAAGGAGACAGGTCCAGTCCCACCCCACGACATGTTGGAGTTGGAGGTGCTTGGTAGGGTCGGTCTTCAAAGCAGACACCCCATCAGCCCATGAATGGGGTGTTTCATCCCATCAGCCCCGGGTCTCCGTCAGCTCTTCCCACGGTTTCGCATCTTTCAGCTCAGCCAGGAGTCTGCAGATCCTCTTGATGGGCTGGATGGGGAGGTGGCTGGGGTGTTTCTTTTTGGATCTCGGTGTCGGCGGCGGGTTTGGTGCTGCTTTTGGTATCCTTCTCGGGGCACAAGGGAAGCCTGGGTTTGTGTATCAAATAGGGAGACCTCCCAAAGAACCCGGAGGAAGAAGGACAATCAATCAAAACCCAGTCTCCCATGAAGATACACACCCCAGGACCTTCAAAGTGACCGTCCTTGAGATCCCACGATGAGGTTACGAACAGGCCTGTTAAAGGTCACTTAGAGACTCCAAAGAGGTCACTTTGAGGGTCCTGGCCCATATACTGTAGATGGCCATGTCGTGAATGTTTCCGCTTGTTCCAGGTGCGCGGTGCCTCAGTGTCGGCCGCCTTTGATCTCCGATGTCCCCGGCCCCGTTGCTCGATTCATCCTGGGGTGGGTACTTGGAGGGTCATAGGCTGCGACTATATAGGTACCAGGTACAATATGGTCATAGAGTAGATATGCTTTTCGATCCAGGCTTTGACGAGGTCCGACATGGGAGGGTCTGGTCGGAGACCTTCACCCCCGGTTTCGACATTGGATGGAGGAAGGAAAAAAGGGAGATTTTCACGGCGTGGCAGGATTTGTACTACCTGCCGGAATCGAGTTTGCAGCAGATGAAGGCGATCTCCCGGGGTTTCTGGAGCTGGAGCTGCTGAAAATCGGACGCGAGCAGGTGGTGGTTTCCTGCGCAGCTCTGCAGGAAAGAGAGGTCACAGGGTCCGGGTACCTATGTGTTTTGTGTCTTCTCTTAACTTCAACCATCTTCAACCAGCATCTAACTGGTGGATTCAGCTTTTTTGAGCTAAGAGACTCTGACTCTGACTCTGTCAAACATCCGATCTTTGGGGGTCTTTTGGGGTGTTTGCCTGCAGTGGTTGTTTTTTCAGCATGTGACCACCCAACCTCGCCCCTTTTCCAGGCCAGGTGTCCTGATGGAAACGGAGCACCGGATTTGGTCATCTCAAAGGGCCGTGCCAAGGGCCTCTCTCTGACCTCTTCACGTCCCTCCCAGCTCAGTGAGACGCAATGACACCCTGGCCGGCCGCTGTAAGACTGTAAGCCAAACGACCTCCCAGGTGGGCAGAGAATACGGCAATCAAGGTGAGAGAATTCTTCGATCCATGTACTTAGAGCTTCTTCGGAAGATGGCCGAAGAGGAGGAAAAACTGACACCCGCCACTCCACAGGAGAAGCTTAAAGAGGAGAAGCCCAGCGAGGAGGAGACCCTGCCAGCTGCGCTCAAGCCCCGCGCCACAGAGAATCCTCTTTTTGCAAGCTGGGTGTACCACGATGTATCAGACCTCCCAAAGTCTTGGTGTGGAGGAGAGGAGAACGTGAACATCTGTCGGGCGGGAGCTTGGAAGATTCTTGTGATGGATGTCGGCAAGATGGAGTTTTTTGACTGCAAAAATGACCACATGACCCCCCTTTGCCCGCAGCACGTTGGCGTTCTTTTTCTTGTTCTCAATGATGAAGCTGCTGGGAGTGGGTCGCTTCAACCGTGGTTAGAGGCTCCTCCTTTTGAGGGGTTTTCAATCATCGTACCTGGCTGTCTCACCTGGAGTTGGACACGGCAAAGCCGAGAGGTCAAGTGAAACAAACCAGTGAGACCAGGACTCACATACTGTCCTTTCAAAGGCCGGCCTGGGCAGCTACTGAACCCATGGCTGATCACTGATCACTGATCCGGGTTGAAAACAAAGGGCTTACTTCCCGATAGAATATCATATTCTATCACATCTTCTATCACGTATTCTATCACGCGCTACAGGAGATCAATAAAAGCCTCGAGAAGGTCTTGGACCCCAGCGAACTGCAAGATGAGGTGAGCCGGTGAGTGTGGAGCTTGCTGGGAGGATACCAGCTGGCTCTGAGAATTGGGGGTGGAACTTCAGTCATGGAAGTAGACCACAACCCTTCCCTAAATCGGCCAATAGGTCTTTCAACTCCGCAGTTGCTTCGAATTGACAAATCCTGAGTGTTCATGGCCACTAATCATTGCATCCAAGGTAGAGATCTTGCAATATCAGAACTCTCCAATCACATGCAGTTAGAGCAGGGAATTGGTCTCCTAAAGGTCACACAGGAAAAGAGACAAAACTTGAGCTCAGTTGCGCATCTCACCTTCTTCACCCTCCACCTTTTCGCTGGACCAGGAGAAGCTCCTGCCAGTAGATATGCGAGGCATTGAGCAGGACTGGCGATGCCCGGGGATGGTGTGGAAGCGGCATCCACGGCGCGTGTGCTCTGTGTGCGTGCGGGGTCGCATGAGATGATGCTTCGCATTCCCGCGTTCCGATGACATTGCCACCGAGATGGAGGTTGCGTTCCAAGAGCTGCTGCGTTCCGTTGGATCGTTGGTTCGCGTGTGGGTTCGCCGGTGGATCAGTTCGGTCAAGCGGCGGAGCGAAAGGGGTGGCGAGTGAGTGGGGGGGGGGTTTCAAACGGTGCGAGGTCTCAAAATGCCCGCTGCAGACCCAAAAGCCGATCGAAACCACCTGTTCGGGTCCCAAAACAGCCTGTTGGAGGGTCCTGTTACCCTCCCAGACCATCATGGAAGCTGAGGAGACCCCCTTTGTAGAGGACTTCATGGTCTTCCAAGGGCCGAACTTTTCCGTTTCAGGGAGTGCATTTCGCATGTCGGACCTTCTTGAATCCGGGTTCCCTCCATCCAGTCACCTCCAAACTGGGGAATTCGGGTCACTGGGGTGTTGGACTGGGGTGGCCTTCAGCAAGCATCTTAAGACCCAGAGGAGCTCACCCTCATTGATGCCCACCCAAAAGAATACCCAGTCAGTAGACTCCGTAATAGTCCCTTCAAAGCCCCAGTCTAGTATTCTTCCAAAACTTGCCTATGCCGTGGTTGTGCTGGCGGATGGCATAGTTGCCCGCAGGCGATGTGATAGGACCACTGCTGGATCTTGGAATCCGTGGCTGTTTCGGTGAACATCACCCTTTAGCCAAAAGGTTCACTCACCGTCCTTTGTTCAGTCACCACTGATTGGATTGTAACAAGGCTGATAGGACCGAACCATTGGCCATCGAACCTGTGAGGCATTCCCACCGTCCATCCGTCCCCAGGACTTCGAGGGCATCGATGATTTAGTGGAGAAGCTGGGGGTCCCAGTGCGCGCGCGGGACTGCTGGTCAGTTCGGCCCCCCCGTGTTCCGGACAGGACTTAGGCCGTAGGACAGGATGCGGAAACGAACGGACGGTGCGTGAACGATGCCCTTTTTTTCCAAAGGCCAAACGGACACGACATCAAGCGTCTTCGTGTTGGGACATGTCCGGTTTAGACTCTTTGGTTGCTTTCGACTTTATCCATACCGTCCATACCATAATCCCCATACCATACGGACTTGGGACCCAGCTCGCTCTCCAAAGACGCTGTCCTCAACGACACCTTGGGTCTCAACGACGTCGGCTGTTGACCCGAATTCCGCGTGGAGCCAAAAGCACCTACGACGCATGGCCAGAGAGTGGAGCTCTCGCCACAGCCAGGCTCTGCATAGGCTTACTGTGCGCCTCTGAGCCATTTTCGATCAATAACCGAGCCTTCTCAGTGCACCATAGCATCCTATGGCCATGGCCAGAGCAATGTGTGCAGTGCTGGTGCAGCTGGCGATCTCTCAAGCAGTTGATGTATGTGAGGATACATCCATGCTGCAAGTCCAGGCCATTGTCCAGTTCATGGTGATTCATTTGGATGTGTATCGTGTCCCCGGGGAGACCCCTGGAAATCCAAACTCCCAGGCACTGCACCGCACCCACATACGCTGTAGACATCCAGACCCACACGAAAGCTGTAGACAGCAGCGTTCTTGCGACAGCGAGCGAAACTCGGCCCCCCTTTCGATCGGTTTCGCACCGATCGATCAGTCGATGGCATTTTGGCACTTGCTCAAAGTCGATCTTTTTTTGAGATGTTTTGTGACACTTGTCAGGCGCAAAGTGGATCGACCAACGGCCTCGACAGCGGCTGGATCGTGGCAGCTGGAGGCGTAGCCATTCACCTGTGAAACACCTAGGACCCTTAGGACACTAGCTCACTAAGTTAAAGTTCTTTCGAATCCCGTAGTGGGCAGAGCTTTGTGAACTCAAAGACGAACAGAAGATCAATAAGCATGGGATATAATTTGACCATGGCGAACAGGACAGAGTTGCACTGGTGCCTGCCGTGCCAGCGAACAGCATGATGAATGCAACGCCGCAAAGACCAAGAGCATCGACGCAACAACGCTGCGTGAAGTGGTTGTAGCCAATGGCGGAAGTTGCCAAGCTAATATTAGCCCCTTCGCGGGTCAAATGGCGCCAGGGTGGATCAGCAATATCAATTTTTGCTTTACCGGCACCGTCGCCTCCACGTGCAGCGCCACCGCCTCGGACAACAATTTTCGCAGGGTCTGCTACTGCGATCCCAAGGCCACCACAACCACCAGCACTCAAACGGCAGGTGGTGGCGGTGATCCCCACATTTACACTCTTCGAGGTGCTCACTACTCCATTTTGAAGGAAGGCACTTTCTTGGCTTGGAGCTTCTCCAAAGCCCAAGTGGAGTGGCAGCTTTTTGCTTGCTACGCCGGCTCGCAATTCACAACTCAGGGCTTGCTGCTCTTGGACAAGCATTCCGGAGTGACCATCGAGATGACAGCCAAAGACTGCACATGGCGCACGAAGGAGAACTCTGGATGGCGCAGGGTGCATCAAGAACGCTTGTCGAAAGGAGACTCCGTCACGAGCCTTGACTTCAAGGAGCAGCCGAATCGCACAGAGGCAGAGGATTTCCTCTTGATGAGAGCTGAGATCCACTTGAATATCAAGTCCGAGACCGAGAAGGACGAAAGGAAGGTCGCAAGGGTCATCGCTCATTGCAGGCCCGAAGATCATCTGGACTTCAAACTCGTGATGTCCGAGAAGAGTGACATTGACCACGTGGGGGGCGAACTTGGATCTGCCCCTCCGCAGAACCCCTCGTTCGTTTCATCTTCGCCGCAAACAATGATGGAGACAAAGACCGATGCTGAGTTTGAGGTAGGGGGAAGGTTGATGTTCATGCATGCGAAACAGAAACTAAGCGAAATCCGAATCAAAACAAAAGACATGTTGGGCTTCTCAGTGCTTCTCAATGCGCGGAGGTTCACGACTCCTGGGCCAGCTTGGGTGGTAGTGAGTCTGCTGATGCGTATTTGACGAAGCAACGGCCACTTGGACCGTCCTTGGTCAGCAAAGCTTGCACGAAGTCTCAGGAGGAAGACGCCGAAAAGATTTGTGCCAAGCACTTGCAGAAGGAAGGTTCAGGAGTGCCCAAATGAGACTCTTTTTGGTCAGAGGGACGGGAATCATTGATACATCATGCACTTCATTTTTTATTTTGCTTCACATGTAATTAGCTTCTTTCGTCGTTTCGACAGCTACGTTCTTTTTTTTTCCCCACATGTCTCACACCTCTGTGTTTTTAACCACCGTCCTCATTGAACGCTGCGTCCCAAATCGTCCAAACACAAAAACACCACGGCCTGGCCACACGTCCCTTTGGCCGTCGTCCTATGCACTTTTCAGGGTTGGACCAGTCGCCCGTCTGCGCCTGGCCCCGACCGTCCCGCGGTCGGTCGGCGGTCTGCGCGTCCCACGCCCTGGAGGTGATCCCTGGGTTTTTGCCGACTGTGTCTTCGATGTCTGTCACGGAGGTGGAGAAGTGGATGCCATGCGCGCAGCAGCCTTGCTGGAAGCCTGAAAGGGCGACCAGGGCTCGGTGAGCTTTTTGACTCGTGAGTCATGACTCATGACATCTCATGACCTCAACACGCATATCATATGGGTGTGCATGTCAATAGGGAGCATGAATTTTCATAGAGAGAGAGAGAGACTCCTAACCAATGAGTTTTGGTCTATTTCGGGTCGTTGCCCAGGAGGTCTCCCTAGCTTAATACACACCCATGTGATGCAGGCCAAGAACCATGGGTGCAAATGACCCCATGGTTCAGATATATCAACATACTTGTAGAGGACTCCTGGAAGTGGAACTGCTCGCAACACCTGTTTGCAGAAAACGGGCTGAGATGAGACACACCCGATCCGCTGGAGACCGCCCCACCGTGCTGCGCGTACCGGTCGGTCGGGCTGCCCAAGCTCAGTGCCTCGCTTTTGGGATGGACGCCTCTTCTTTTTGGTTGGGCACTGAAACACCCAGGCTGTTTTCGGGAGAACACCCGGGTCTTGGAAGCTTTCAGACATATGACACACACAGTAGACTGTAGGATGGAAAGAAAGATCCACATGGAGCTGTCCATAGTACATAGTTCTTAAAATCATGGCAGTTGACAGCTTCGAGAGCTGTCTCAAGACACCCGGTACTATTTCGTTGCACTGGTTTGCGCTGGTTTTGTCCACACACACATGCACACTGCACACATGGGCACATGGTCTCAACGCACCCCTTGTTCATTGTCATGTTGATCAATGAAACCTTTTCCCACCGGAACCAGCTCCGCTTGGTGCTCCTTCGATGTCGGCACGGTTTGTGATCAAAGGACCCCCGTCGAACAGACACCGTGAAGTTCGAGTTTTCGTGGATTTGGGACCTGTCCAAAACGCAGACTCTTTGGTCCCTTTTCGTTTTGGCGTGGTGTTCGAGTGACCCATCACCATGACCAGACCCCCATCCCTCGGATTTGTGACCCAGCTCGCTGGACAAAGCGGAATCCAAAGGACGATGGGCGTCCGGCCGCGTTGGCAAAAGCACAAAGAAGAGGATCAGATAGGACTCAACATGACCCAACACATGCAGAGTCCCAATGGTTCCAGTCCCATGTGGCCACACCCTGCTTCTTGGATGTTCGGTTTCCGGTAGCCTTTCACCCAGAGCTGGCCCTTTTCCGGACAACACACCGTACGGCTCCACGAAAATGCCGCCCCTCAGAGATGTCTCGTCAGCGCCTTCGTGCCTTCAGTGCCTTACTTCTGATCCAAAAAGCTTCTCTTTCTCCCCAGGTTGGGTGCCGTGGAAGCTGCCCGGGCGTTGGTGAAAGCCAGGGAGTACTTTGAGGCGGAAAAAAGCCGCACGATTCGCCGGATGAAAACCACCAACCCGCCGTGCTGAGTGGATCAACATCCTGTACTGACCCTGGGTCCCAGTACAACCGGGTATGCTGACGTGCTTTCCGAAGCTGGAGCTGAGCCGACTGTCGTCGTGACTCGTCGTTTTTGCAAGTCGATGGTTCTGCACACTCGACGTACAATAGTTGTTACCTCTTGCATCTGCTGGTAGGCTATTCTATTCGGCTGGCAGGCTATTTGTTCATTCATGTCGACTAGAGCGTGACGTGACCCAAACCCAAATCAAAAGTAAGATTCCTTTGGTTCTGCCAAGGAGTGACACCCCACATGAACCTTGCATAAACTTTACATCATAAACTGACCACCCGCATCCACCCGCTTGATGGACCATTTCAAACATCTTGAGGGTCTCCTTTTCAAACACCTTCTGCAACAACCTGTTTTCCTCGATCGCACCACTTCTCTGTTTGGCCGCGGTGAGGCCAACAAAGATGGGCGGCCCGAGAATGAGAGGCGCGGGTGGAGCGCGGCACCCGCGCGGCACCCGCGCGAAGCAGGTCCAGCAATTCCCAGTTTGGCCCGAGCTGGGTAAATCCGCTTTTGCGGATATTTTTGGTGTTATTTTTTTCCAGGTTCCTTGAACACATTCATGAAATTGGAAGACTTTTTTGGGGACTGGCATTGCAAGGCCATTTCGTACCATGGCAAGTTTGTGCACCACAACTGGTGCTCGCTGGCGCTTGTACACCAGTTGTTTCGGTCATGAACGAAACAGAATTTGCTCATTTTGCTCTATAAGTCAAAATAAACCCGGAACCCGCAATTTCTGAGCTGTTGAAGCGCTGGCATTTGAGCTCAACAAATTCCTCCGTCTGCGCCACAAAACATCGGGCATCAGAAAAAACCAGTCGCCCAAAAACAGTGCAGACATCCGTCTTTCGTATCCGACATCATCCGACCATTTTTTCGTGATCAATTCTTTGCAATTTGACCTTCGAACACTCGGTTCAATTCTCTTATCCGACCATTGGGCCCCGAGAGATGTGTCCCTCGGTCTGGTCGACACGCGGTCGCGAATGACGGGGGAGGCCCCAGCCGATGACGGCGACTGAGTGGAGGAAGATCTTGCAAGAGGTGGACGGTAGTCACCGGCGAGCGCCTTTGTTGGGGTGGGGCACGAAGGGCCTGGGCCATAAGTTTGGGAGATGATTGGGTGAGAAACCGGGATGGTGACAGAATCCTTCCCATCAGTGAAGATTACGACCAGCAAGAATGTTGGGGACTTTCTACCAGGTGAACTGGAAGTAGCTCCATTGCTTTCAGATTCATTTGGCACCTTGAGTTTGGATGGGGGTTTTAGCTGGGTCAGGGCGGCTGGGAGGGACATACAGATGACCGGGTGCACCTCCAGTTGCTATAGTTTTTATGTGAGATCATGACTAGTCCCTGTTTTTATTCAAAGGTGTACTGTGTACATCCTTGGTGGCGCTTGCTTGGGATGTTCTTCTCGCTTGGAGGAACAGCCGACAAAACTGGAGATCCCCACAATCAATCAACACTGTTTCGGACATATCTGGACCTATAATTTAAAGGCTTACGCCTAACAGCCGGGCGCCGGCCCACTTGGGTCTGTGGGGCGTATGTCACGCCTATGTTGGCCTTGGTGGGGCCTATATTGAGCAAAGTTAAGCTATTTGGTGCGCATCTTGGCCCTACCCATGTTGAGCCCATGTTGGCCTATGTTAGGCCTATGTTGGCCTAGGTTGGGCCTATGTTGGGCCTATGTTGGCGTATGTTGGCCCCATGTTGGCCCAATGCTGGCCTATGTTGAGCCATCTTGGAGGCTATGTTGGGCATATGTTGGGGATATGTTGGCTATCTTGGGCCTATGTTGAGGATATGTTAGGAAATGTAAGTCGTCTGGAGGGCCTCTACCCACAAAATGTCGATTAAGCCTGTCCGCCGGGCCCGCATTACCGACACCACCCCTGAAAAACACAGCATTTTTGCATTTTTTCCATTTTCCCCGCGTCGTACTTCGATATGCGCAATAAACCCTGTAAAGCACAGTGTTTTTTATACCTCACACACACGATACACTGTAAATTACAGGGGCTTCAGTGACCCGGTGGTCCCCCCGTTTGGTGACGAGGGTCGGCGGCGGCCGGCGCGACCGTCTATAACCTTCGGTTACCACCGAAGGCCCTCCGGGCAGGGCACGGGCTTCGTGGCCGGCGCCCGGATTTAAGGGCTGCCGCCCCTGCCGCCGACCCCACAGAACCAATCGTGCTTCTAGTTCATAACGGTCTGTAAGCTCGAGAACTCTCTTGGACATAACTTCCATAACTCTTAAAACAAAGTTCCAAGTAACCTAACTTTCGGATAGAACTCAAGGAACTTAACCAAGGTAACAAAGTTAAAGCCAGACTTCTCCAAGTTAAAGCCATACTCAAGATACTTATACCTTCTCTACCTAGGGGGGGCCCCTCTTTGTTCCCAACGATTTGCAGCTCTTCGACTACCAGCTCAACACGGGTTCCTTCATTTTGCCGTTTTTGTCTTTCTGCAGGAATTATTCAAAGCCCCGACCCCACAGTCTGCGCAACTCCGCCCACAGTCTCGCACAGAGCCCAGAGCCCACAGTCTAGCAAGTGCGAGGTTTTGGAGCGTCTCCAACGGCTAGCGCACAGAGCCCAGGGCCCACAGTCTAGCAAGTGCGAGGTTTTGGAGCGTCTCCAACGGCCAGTCTGGCAGAACCATTGGCAAGGTTCGAGGGGTTTGAGGGGCTTGAAGCGACCAGTATGGCAGAACCATTGGCCAGGTTCGAGGGGTTTGAGGGGTTGAAGGGTTTGAGGGGTTCGAGGGGTTTGAGGGGTTTGAGGGGTTTGAGGGGCTTGAGGGGTTTGA